GAGACCACGTCCCAATATACCATCAAGTCCTAAAACACAGCACGAACATATTCGAGGCCTTAAATCACATCAAACAATATTAAATGTAGAAATCGCACCCCAATTCAAGCTTATTGAATAAATGAACATTCAACTTCTAAAACTAATGCCGAATCATATCCAACCAACTCTGAATGAGCTCAAATTTTCCATGCAAGTCCCAAATGGCACAACGGAGCTGTACCAACTCCCGAAACCACAATTCGAACCCGATATCAATAAATTTAACACCCGCTCAAACCTATCAACCTTTCAAACTTTCAACTTTCTAACTTTTTTCAAAAATCCTCAAATCAACCTACAGACCTCCAAATTAATATACAGATATACGTCTAAGTCTAAAATTACCATAAGAAGCTTTCGGAACCATCAAAAGTCCATTCCGGAGTCGTCTATATAAAAGTAAAACTCCGATTAACTCTTCCAACTTAAGCTTTCAACCTTGGATTGAATGTCCCAATTCACTGCGAAACTTTCCCAAAACCAAACCAACCATCCGAAAGTCACATAACCACAATTGAACATAGAGGAGGCAATAAATAGGGAAACGAGGCTAAAATACTCAAACAATCGGCTGGATCATTACATATCACTTTTTAGGAACGAAATAATTACGTATCATACAAATTTTAACAATCAAACCTTGAACAATGATCATTAGAAAATAAAAGACAAATATACCGAGAAGACATAAAAATTTAAAGGGGTTCGATCATTTTACCTACATCTACGGGTAGAGATGAGTAATCCACGGTATAAACAAGAGTACAAAAATATCGATAGTACGATAGAATAACCTCACAAAGTTTACTTTTAAAGAGGTTTACACAAGTAACATGCTAATACTTGTTATTACAAATTCTCTCTAAACAATACTCTCTAACCCCTTATAAGGACTACATTGTGGGTGGTGGCAAGCAAGAAGAAATGAGTCTCAGTTTATAGGAGCTCAAATGGTTCTTCGAAAGGATTAGGAAAAAGATATTTATACTTTCCTTTTAGGAAAAAAATTAACCAATTATGGTAATGTGTTGTCATTCCTTTAAGGAAAAGGAAAACTCAAATATAGTAAGAAAATCAAGCACTAATAACCTGCTTTGAATTTGACTTAAACCTCGCTCTAATACTAGCTATGGGCTAAGCGAGCCTAGATACATTCTTGATCACATGATATGATACTATCTGTTGAAGATAATGAACAAGTTGAAAAACTTGATAACTACTCGATCACTTAATTTAAATTTATTAGAGTTAGGACTCTTGTATTGTTCATCCTATAAGAGTTTCACTCTATGTTATATAGCCTAAAATATAGGATCAATATCATGTAAAAATATATAGGCTTATATAATTGATTGAATGAGTAATATACTGCCTTCTCGACATTGTCTAATTCTGCTACCCAAATTCAGTTTTTGCTACACAATAACAATCTTGCTCATATGGCTTCCAGCACTTTCTCAATAGCCTCCCTTCATCATCTTATTGCTTCATGTACTGTGAAGTTGAAGTCTTCTAACTATCCATTATGGAGAACAAAAATGATGCGGCTTATCCAAGTAATGAGGTTGAATGAGCTCATTAAGGGAAATCAGGAACTTATAAATGTAGAAGGCACCAGTAAAAGTAGTGATAAGGACATTGGAAGGAGTTGACAAAAGAAGTGACAAAAAGGTCGATACTGTTGATGACAGGCTGAGGAGTTGGATATTTGGGACGATGTCAGATGAGAGTATGTATCTCATTGTGCGATGCACAACTGCTAAACAGATGTGGTAATGACTTGAAGAAACTTATCTGCAGGCAACAAAGGACAAGGAATTCCGGTTGAAGCAACAACTTCAAACCATCAAGCTTGGCAACAGAACCATTGATGAGTATTTGAGGAATTCAAAGGCATTTGTGATGGCTTTGTTGCCATACACAAGCCTGTAGATGATGATAGAAAGGTCATTAATTTTGCTATAGGTATGGGTCCTAAATACAAAATTTTTAAGATTGTAATGCTTGGCAAAGCACCTTGTCCAACTCTGAGTTAGTTGGTCACTTCTGTAATAGGCTTTGATCTCAAAGAGGATAAAGGAGATGATCACAACAAGTGAATCACAATTTGGAATTTGCAGAACAAAGGACATACAACAACAAAGGTAAAGGAAACTTCTCAAACAAGAGAGGTAATATGAACTACAGCTCAAAGGGTAGAGGCTTCAGGCCTGCTGTTCAGAATAACAATCAAAAGTCTCAATAATCTGAAAATGCTGCTAAGGGACAAGAAAGCTCGGGATCATCAGCCTACCATATATGTGGAAGGAATAATCATACTACAATAAAGTGCTTCTACATGTGGGAATTTTCTTATCAAGCACAAGAAGATTTGCTACAGGCCCTTGCTACACTCAATGTGAATAGTCAAAATGGTGGAAATAATGCTCACCATGTGGATTCAGGGGCAAGTACTCACATGACCAACAATATAGGTAACTTATCCAACCTTAAACCTTATAGTGGGAATAATAAAATTATTGTAGTAAATAGACACGAACTAAGTATCACACATGTCGGAAAAGGAACAATTTCTGGTTTAAGGATGTGAAGTTCTATTAGTTCCTAAACTCAAAAAGAATCTATTATCAGTAAGTAAGATTACTAGAGATAATTGTCGTTCCATTAAGCTTGATGAATCATCTTTTATTGTAAAGGATAAGAGGACATGGAAATAGATGGCCAGGGGTGCTAAAAAAGGAGAGATATATGCCTTAAAGGTGGACAACCTGCTTGCTTTGAGTGCAACCATGACAAGGAGGAGCTCTAGTGATATTTGGCATGCCAGACTTCGGCATCCAAATTCTTGGTTCTTAGAAGTACTTAGTAATAATAAGTGTATCAATATCACATGCTGGAATAAAACTCCTACAATTTGTGTTAGTTGTCAAATGGAAAAAAGTTGTAAACGACCATTCAAGTTGAGAAATAATGTTGAGAAAGAACCTTTATTGAAATTTCACCGTGAATTGTGGGTCCTACTCCTATTGACCCCCTCCCCCCTCCCTCCATCATGTGAAATATTATGCTTTTTTGATAATCATAGTAGATATACATGGATGTATCCTTAAAAAAGAAATTTTGATTTCCTTGAACTATTTATCAAATTTCACAAAAAGGTTGAGAAACAGTTTTGAAAGAGAATTAAGATCTTTCAATGTGATGGAGGTGGTGAATTTTCAAGTTCTAAATTTAGTAAGTACCTAGAAAATTGTGGCACTGTAAGACATATTTCTTGTCCTCACACCCCTGAGCAAAATGACATTGTAAAAAGGAAGCATAGACATATAGTGGAAACTGAATTAATATTACTGCCACTTTCTAAGTTACCTCTATACCTATGGATATAATTTCTCAAAGCAGTATTCCTGAAAAATAGGTTAACATCATCTGTGCCTAAAAAGGAAACACCATTTTATAAATCACATGGTTCACACCTTGATTGCTACAGTTTTAAAGTGTTTAGGTGTAAGTGTTTCCCTTACTTAAAAGGAAAACACAAGTTCTCATCTGCATATCCCTGTATGTTCATTGGTTACTATGATGAAATAACACTTCCCTGTGTGCATGAAAACAAGACTGACAGTGTATCAAATGACTCTAGTCATATGGCCATATTTTTTGAATTTTTTTCAGAATCACAGGCCAAGTCTGGTTCATCAAATTCTACAGCTGTAGAGGAAGTGTTGGGAGCTTATCATAATGCTACTGTAGATGATGTTTCAAATTATCAAACTGATAAACAATATGTTGATATTGCTGATCAAAATGATGGTGTTGCTGCTCAAACTGTTTTTCCAACTGCTGATCACAATAATGCTTATGAGTCTTATCATGATGAGGTTGTGGAGGTCACAAACAATGTAATGAGCCTTCTGCAGACATGCAAAAATCATAAGCCTCTCACTCAGTTGAAACACCTCTACAGTTCATAGTGACAGATCCAAGAGGATTGCAATTAGAAGTGGACTTGTCACACTTCTTTAATGCCCAAGATGAAGCACCTCCAGCAGAAATATGGTTTAAGTTGAACCTAAAGCCACTGCTCAAACCCATAGAGGTCACCACACTCAAAGCTAAGTACCTTCTTATAACCGCATTCCTCACTAGCTGTTGTACAAACAAAAATGGAAGAGCGTAAGTCTATAAAGGAAGCTCTTAGTTCCCCTCACTAACTTAAAGCAATGCAAGAAGAATTAGCAGCCTTACATCAAAATGAAACTTGGATGTTAGTCCCCAGAATAAGGTCTAAGTGGGTGTTTAAAATAAAAATAAAACCAGATGTGTCAATAGAAAGACACACTACTGGAAAATGGGCCTATGGCAACAGCGGAAAAATCGTTGCAACTAATAGGTAAACCATTGCCATAGATGTATTGGAACGGTTTAGCGACCGTTACATCCGCTCGCGTGCCAATAGATCTAGAGCAACGGTTTTTGCAACGGTTAACCACACCGTTGCTATAGAGCCAGCTATCGCAACGGTTTTCCCTCTATATTCATTTCAACTACAACGGTTTAAAACCGTTACCATAGAGTTTAATGCAACGGTTGTAAACCGGTACCATATTATTTACTATAGCGGTTGAAAACCGTTACCATATAATTTATTGCAACGGTTACGTAAGCTATTGCTACATTTATTTATAGATATTCTAATGATTTTATTACGCTATCGTAACGGTTTTATTTCTATTGCAACGGTTTGAATTGCCAATTGTTTGAGTTGTAGCAGTTTTTGGAACGGTTTGCAAGACTTATCTGAACGATTTAGAATGTCTATGGCAACGGCATTTGTGCTTATTGCAGCGATTCTTTTAGGCTATTGTAGAAATTTACTTGACATTACTACCTAGAAATATTTGTAATAACCTGGAAATTATATAAATAAAAAGATAAAACACTTTATAATCTTTCATGTCCAATAAGCTAAGAATAACCATAATAGCAAAATGTTTTAACCCAATCACATAAGTTTTACAGTTCAACACTTCAAAAGTTAAAGTTTCAAATGTTGATAACAAAAGAGTCCTAGAATATCGACAACAATTCAAAGTTCTTCTTAAGTAAGGTCTAGATCTTCACTATCTCCATCTTCCCTTTATTCAGTTGCTCCACCTACAAAAGAGAATAAATAAAGTCATTACCCTTCAAGGGTTGGTTTACCATTATAAGAATGGGTATAATCCATGAACAATGCATAAAGCACAAAGCTTCAAGCAGAAAGAAACAAGTTCACACAAATGAAAGAAGCCAAAATTAGTAACATATCTAAATCATCAAAACCAAAGTTATAAGCATATTCATTCAGGAAAAAATTGATTGATGATGATGTTAACAGAAATTCGCCATTGAAGCTGCAGAATCATATCCATAATCTGAACCATTACTACGTTTTTTACCATAAAAATCCCATCTTGGTTATGATGATGATAAATCAAGTTTCAAATCTATAAAAGCTGAATCATCCATACTAGTATTAATATCACTTTCCTTAACAGGAAAAGCATTAATTCCAATGTTTGGAACTCCAAATTTTTTGAAATTACTACCATCCTTTCTTGGCTCATGATCAGAATCAGTGACGATCCGGCCAGTCGTCTCATGAGCTATCGCTCTGTTTCCTCTATTTCTGCTTCTTATTATTTAGAATAATGGTCCTATATGTAATCGGGTTGATTGGTTAGGGTTCGGAAAGGATTTGGTAAGGTTTGAGACACTTAGTCTCTCTTGAGGAAGGTTAAGTTGAAAAAGTCAATCGGATGTTGACTTATGTGTTAGAGGGCTCGGATGTGAGTTCCCATGGTTCGGTTAGCTTCGGGAGGTGATTTGGGACTTAGGAGCGTGATCGGAATGAGTTTTGGAGGTCCAGAGTAGATTTAGGCTTGAATTGACGAAAGTGGATTTTTGGCGATTTCCAGTTGGTAGGTGAGATTTTGATATACGGGTCAGAATGGAATTCTGAGAGTTGTGGTAGTTCCGTTGTGTCATTTAGGATGTTTGTGCAAAATTTTAGGTCATTCGGACGTGGTTTGGTTGGGTTTTTGATCAAAAGCGGAATTCGAAAGATTATTGAAACTTAGGCTTGAATCCGATGTGCTTTGGTTGATTTGATGTTGTTTGAGGTGTTTTGAAGATTGGTACAAGTTTGAATAAGGTTTTGGGTTATGTTGGTGCTTTTGGTTGAGGTCTCGCGGGGCCTCGGGTGAGTTTCGGAGGGTTGAACGGATCATTTTAAGTTGAAGAAAATTGCAGATTTTGGTTTCAGCTATTGCAGAGTTTTTACTCTTCGCGATCGCGTAAGGGGTCTTGCAATCGCGTAGAGCTGTTGTGGGGGCCGTCCGGTTTGCTCAGTGCGTTCGCGAAGCCACGGATGCGATCACATAAGGTGAAGGCATTGTTGATCGCGAACGCGTGGAGTGCGTCGCGTTCGCGTAGAGTTAAGTAGACCAAGAGTTTTGGTTGGAGTTTGTTCTTTGCGAACGCGGTAGCCAGTCCGCGATCGCGTAGTGTTAGATGCCTGAGCATCGCATTCGCGTGGGACTTTACGCGTTCGCATAGGGTTAATTTTGGGAGCTGTGAGTTTGTGCTTCGCGATCGCGAAGGATGTCCCGCGATCGCGATAAAGGGATTTAGGCCTGGGCAGAAGGTTTAAAAGGTCGTCTTGTCCGCGAATTTGAGGCTTATTTCTTCCGTTATTGGTCATTTTTGGAGCTTTTTGAAGGAGATTGAAGAGGGATTCAAGGGGAATCATTTGGAGGTATGAATTTTGGACTTAACACTCGATTCTATTATGAAATCTACCTAATAAATCATGGAATCTGAGCCAAAATTGAGGAATTAGGGCTTGAGATTAAGAGACTTTAAATGAGAACTTGAGGTGTCATTTGGACTCCGATTTCAGTGTTCTTGGTATGTATGGACTCGTGGGAGTATAAGGATTCCATTGATGTAATTTTTACCGAGTATCAAGACGTGGGCCCGGGGTTTGGGTTTGGCCAATTTTGGATTTTTGGTATATTTGATTGTTTTCGCTTGGGCTTCGTTCCCTTAGCATATTATGACGCCGTGATTCTGATTTTCGATAGATAAAACGTGAGTGGATGCCGATTCGAGGGGCAAGGGCGTCGCGGAGTAGTATTTTCACCAGTTTGAGGGAATTAACCATTGTAAATCTGGAACTAAGGGTACAAAACCCCGGTATTTGACTTGTTTTGATAAATGCGGTGACGCGCATGCTAGGTGACGAGTGTGTGGGCGTGCACTGGTAGGGATTCTGACTTGGTCCGTCCCGTAGCGACTACTAAGCCGCATATTTGATTTGGAAATCTTATGTTATTCCGTATTTTAGTCATTTATGCTGTATTATGGGTTGTATGCCATGTTTGGGGCCTTGTGCCGACCTGTAGAGACCCTTAGGGGCATTTTCACTGTATTTCCTCACTTTACTTGCTAAAAACATATCTTCAGCCATGTTTTACCTGTTTAAGTGTTTAAAACTTGTTTTATCACTCCACTTCTAAATGTGAGAACTATTTGGACTCAGTTCCCTAATTTCCACTGTTATGTTCGAGAGATTGTGAGGTTAATGATGGAGAGAGGTTGAGAATCTAGCAATGAGGATATTTATATATGTATGAAATATTGGGTCAGGTTGCACGCCGCAACGATACTTATATATTGGATCGGGCTGCATGCCGGAGCGGTATATATATTGGATCGGGCTGCGCGTCGCAGCAATATGACGCTTGGGCTGTAGGAGCCCCTCCGGAGTCTGCACACCCCCAGTGAGTGTAGTCCACTATAAATTATGGATCGGGCTACACGCCGCAGCGGTTACTATGATTTCTATTATTATGAGATATTAATGAGCCTGAGTGCTGAGAGTGAGTACTGAGCGACGAGAGTGAGTCACGAGTGACTGAGAGGCTGCCTGAGAGGCCATATTCTGTGTGATACCTTGCCCGAGGGGCCCAGTTATGACATTTGCACTGATTTCACTCTTTTTTTAAAACAAGCCCCTGTTGGAAAAACTGCTAAGTATGAGATTTCAAGTGTTTAAACTGAAATTGACTATTTTATGACGAAAGATGGCTTTAAACTGTGGAGTTTGATCTATTATCCTGTCGTTTATTCAGTTATATGATTTTTAACTGCTCGTCACTACGTTCAGTCCTTATTTACTTTAGTTACTTACTGAGTTGGCGTACTCACGTTACTCCGTGCACCTTGTGTGCAGATCCAGGTGCCCGAGCGGCCGAGTGAGCATCCTCAACTGATCCAGTGTTTGATGGAGATTGCAAGGTAGCTGCATGGCGTCCGCAACCCTGTTTTCTCCTCCCTATCTTGTTCTTTTCCGTATTTTTCTAGAGTTATGATGTATTTGACATTCAGTCATGTATTAGAGGCTCTAGACTCATGACACCAGATATTTGGGGCTGTGTAGTTTCATGTTTATTCGACTTCCGCATATATATTTTGTTGCTTTTAAATGCTTATTATGAAAATTTGGTATTTAAACCATGTTATAAAATGTCTTATTAAATGAAAATGAGTTGTGATTAATTGGTTGATTTGGCTTGCCTAGTAATCTGATAGGCGCCATCACGACCGGTATTTTAGGTCGTGACAAGTTGGTATCAGAGCCTAGGTTACATAGGTCTCGCGAGTCATGAGCCAGTTTAGTAGAGTCTCGCGGATCGGTACAGAGACGTCTGTATTTATCCTCGAGGGGCTACAGAACCTTTAGGAAAACTTCATATTCTTGAAATTCTTGTCGTGCGAATCTGTTGATCCGAGTACTAAACTTCTGTTATTCCATTCTCTCACAGATGGTGAGGACACGTGCTACTGGGCCGGATGGACGACCGCCAGTACCACCAGCTGGGGCCACCCAGAGGCCGAGGTCGCGGATGAGGTTGTAGCAGGGGCAGAGCAGCTAGAGCAGCACCTGCAGACCCACCAGCTGCCCCAGTTCCTGATCAGGTCCCAGCTGTGGATGCTACAGCAGCACCAGCTCAGGCACCTGCTGTGCCTATTGTGATTCCAGGCCTTCAGGAGGCTTTAACTCAGATCTTATCAGTGTGTACCAGTTTGGCTCAGGTGGTCTTAGTTACTATAGCCGCAGCTACTTCTCAGGCCGGGGGATGCACCCAGACTCCCGTTGCTCGCACACCTGAGCAGGTTGTGCAGGGATTCCAGACATCGGGGGCACCTCCAGCCCAACCGGTTGCACCAGCTCAGGAGTTTGCGGTACCAGTTATGCCGGACGACGAGCAGCGTCGACTAGAGAGGTTTGGTAGACTCTAGCCTCCGACTTTCAGCGGTGCAGAGGGAGAGGATGCCTAGGGTTTCTTGGATAAGTGCCAGAGGATGCTTCGTACAGCGGGGATTCTAGAGGCCAGTGGTGTGGCATTTACCACCTTTCAGTTTTCTAGGGCTGCCTTCACTTGGTAGGAGGCGTATGAGAGACGTAGGCCTGTTGGTGCAGCGCCCCTTACTTGGCAGCAGTTCTCTGTTCTCTTTCTGGAGAAGTATGTGCCATAGTCTCGTCGAGAGGAGCTGCGCAGGCAGTTTGAGCAGTTGCGTCAGGGAGAGATGAGTGTGAAGCAGTATGTGATGTGGTTCTCCGAGTTAGCCCATCATGCGGTTTGGTTGGTTCCCATAGATCGGGAGAGGATCAGGAGGTTTGTTGATGGCGTCACATATCACCTTCGGATTCTCATGACTAGGAAGAGGGTGACAGGTTCTACCTTCGAGGAGGTTGTTGACATTGCTCGTGAGATTGAGTTGGTTCGCCGCTAGGAGCGAGAGGAGAGGGAGGCCAAGAGGCATCGGGGATCTGGTAGCTATAGCAGTACTCCTTCGAGGGGTCAGTTCCAGCAGAGCAGAGGCTGTCCTTTCAGGCAGGCTCATTCAGCTCGCCTAGGTTACCGTGGAGCATCATCGGGTCATGGTTTTCACAGTTCTCATTAGAGTCATTCATCACTTAGTGCCCTTCCAGCCTAGAGTTCATCCCGTGCTCCATCAGTGCAGGGTTCTTCCATGCCAGGTCCTTCTACTGGTCATTCCGGTGCCAAGGGTTCCCTTCAGTCCCCATCTCCTGCACCGGGGAGTTG